TAAAAAATACCTTTAATCAAAGATAATCCTACTTTGGAGTAGGATTATCTTTGCCTTAATACAATATTTGAAAAGGCCGCGACCTTGAAAATCTAAAAAAAAAATTGCCCATGGCTGTTTTTTATTTTTGTCGCCCACCCTTTCTTGGACACCACGAGCCGCCACTGATTTGCTGAACAATGTTTCTAAAGTCAATCAAAAGCCGTTTGTATTCAAAATTTTGAATATTTATTGGCTTTTGATTGCACTCTTATACCGGGTGCCCACAAGATCACTTTCCGGCTGCCATTTTTTTATTTGTCTATCAATATTAACAAAACTTGGTAGGGTTGATATTCTAACCAAACGCCATTTTTATGAATTTATGACAAGTTTTCTTGACTTCCGGTTTCACCGGAAATGACCTGAACTTTTGATTTTTGAATGGCACACCCTGTATATTTTTTGTTTTTCGGATTTTACATATCGTTCTACATCCTAATGCACCACTTTTGGATCGAGTTTTGTCGAAATTTTATTTTAAAATTAAAATTTATTTTTTTAACTAGAGTGCCATGATCATCCTAAAATGACTCTACATACTTTACTTAATTTCAGAAAATACAAAATCAATTTTATCTTTGTAAACTTTTTTGATAGAGGCAGTGGCGTAACTACAGGGGGGCCTGGGTGGGCCGGGCCCCCCCCCCCCCCCAGAAAAAACTGTGCAGAAGTGATACAGTATACCAAAGCCATTAAATTAGCATTAGCAATATCAGATTAGTTGGGAGTTTGACTAAATATTTTTCCTGTGAATCTATATGAATCGGTGTTGCTGATATATACTATACAGTGGCTGATAGGCTGAGTTAGCTAGGTAAGTGATTCAAGCCCGGTTTAGTCAGCTAATCGCCTATAATTGCACTGTTCTACTTTTCTAAAGATTTCAATAAGTCACAATAACAGGCCCTAGACCACTGACCCTAACTACATGGGGGCATTGACACAGGAGCTCCCATGAGCAACCTCTCATGGGTGTTCGGAGCTCTTGTAGGGACTGTGAAAGTACAAACGTATTTAATTTAATGGTCATTTCGTTCCGTGTGGTAGTATCAGTAGAGATGGCCCTGAGAATATTCGGGGATAATACCACGAGAGCTTCAAAATTACCGATAATTTTTCACGATTGCGTGTGAAATTTGAAGAGAAAACACACATGAGTGAAAAATTATCTGGTTCATTTTAAAGCTCAAGTGGTATTTAGAGGATTATTTCACGTATGAGAATGCAAAAGATATGGAAATAAATATGTATTAAACGATTTGAACATCTTAACAATCAATACAAATAAATGGTTGCTATCAGGAACCGTTTGTTTGTATCAAAAATTAGCATGACAACCATGTATACAATAACATGGGAGAATTATCGCTGTAGTTCTCTCTAGTTAAACAAATGGAAAAGAGAATTCTGAAAATCGTCACTTGTCTTATGGGATTTCTAACACATGAGTGGAATAATCTCCAAAGAACTTCTATCGAGAACAGAGAATTTACCGAGAATATTCTTCGGATTTAAATTCTTGAGAATTTATAATTTTTTTAGGTTCTAGAATGTATGAGAATATACGGTTATTTTCGAGAATTTTTTTGGAAATTACCCCCTCGATTATCCCCAATTTTTAAATTTATCACCTTGCACATACAGATGGCACTAGGTTCATAGTGAGATAAGGTTGAAATGAAAAACAGAAAAGAGTGAGTCCGGGTCCTTATTCTTGACAAGGGAAACAGTGAAGCAAGCGTTTCCAAGAGAATGAGTGTTCCGTCTTACTCAATGATATGCAACTGATAATATAGGCTCGAATATAAGTAACAAAGACGGAACACTCGTTTTCCTGGGAACGCTGCTCCCCTGTTTCAAGAATAATGACCAGGTAAATCCGGTAAATACCCCGAGCCCATAGGCGTTTTCGATTGGTGGAGATTAGATTTAATGCGCACTGGCGCAACTGAGTACATAGTGTATTTCCAGCTCTTTCTCTCAGCCTGTTAAAGAAACAAATAGAAACACAAACACATTTTCTTCGCACTAGATATTTCTACGAACTGGGAGCGCCCATGGCCATAAGTTATTTCAGTGATTCATTGTTTCAGCACTGTGTGATAGAGTGCAAGATGTGTGTACGAAGAAAAATATTTAATAATTTAACTTACATATTTAGTCCCGGTTTAGGTATTCAGCTTCAGATAAAACTTGCTGGTAACTATCTACAAGATTAATGTACTGTTCTAAGATTCTATTGGTCGGCGGATAACTGGCGGACCAATGATATTACAGATTGCGTTTTTATCCGTCAGATTGCAAACCTGACCCCTTAATATTAGTTCTGACTAGTTTTGAGGAAATTTCTCCGAAAATGAAACCTAGAAGTTCGATATGGAAACATTTCAGACGAAATAAGAAAAAAAAAAATTTCTATGTCAATTTTGTGATTTTTAGATACCAAAAAGATGCAAAAAGCTCCAAATGATGTTAAGAAGCTATATTCTTCGAAATTCCTCCAAAATTCCTCCAATGTTACCGAATATTCTCCGAGGAAATTCTCTCAAAATAAATTATCGAGAATTTGCCATCTCTAAGTATCAGTATCATACATAATATGTAATTTAAATTTACACAACTTTGTATAATAAATTATACAAGTGGTATTAGTCTTATAGATTAGGGAGGTATTAGTATTCTGTCCTTTCGTTATTTGTGGTCAATTCTATGCTCTATTACTTTATATTGCTAATGTTGCTATTCTCCATCATTATTCTTTGACAATAATCGGGACATAAGGCATTTTAGGACATAAAAAGTACCAGGCATAATTATTTTTGATAATGATGTGATATTTTCATGGCCTAAAAATGCGTACAGAAAAAAAGCACTTTTCGCACACTCGTAGACAAAAATACAAAAAATATATATGTTACGGGTTTAATATGCAAACTTGGCTAGTTTGTATACTAGCTGGATAGTTACAACTACCAACTCACCAACTCACTGGCTATTTTGATAGAAAACACAATTTTCACTAAAATAGCAGCTAGTTTGCAAAACTAACCAAGAGTCTTGGCTAATTTTTACTTGAAATTATTGAGAAAAACTAAAACAGCTGGTTAGTTTATAAACTATCCAATACATTTTGGCTAATATGAAAACCATATTTTCTAGTAACACAAAAATAGCCAAACCTTTGGCTAGTTTACAAACTAGCCCAACCAATTCTCTGGCTAATTTGCAAACAAAGTTAGGTTAAAGAATTCGACGCTCCATTGATAGATTTGTATACCTATTAATAAAGCAAAATAATTTCCAATTTCACAAACGAAGGAAATCTGGCAAAAATATTAGCTTGTATGGACGATTTGTTTGATATTATTAAAGAATCTCACCAATCAACTGGGCACGGCAAAAAGACAAGTTACAACAAAGCTAATAAATAAAAAAATATTCAAATATTACCCAAGAAATTGTAACTTTGTTCCTCGATGGATGTGAGAATCGCCAGGTAGAAAAGAAAAAAGCAAAAATGTTAATTTTATTCATCTCTAATTTATCGAATAAGGAATGCCATGAACTGCCGTAAACTTTATTTGTAAATTAGCCAGAAAATTGGTTGGTTAGTTTACAAACTATCCATATAGTTTACAAACTAGCCAAGTTTGCATATTAACCGTAACATATACACTATAAAAAAACCACGTTTTTTAAAGCGTGGCATCCGGAAAAAAAATTTTCGCCTGAGGCGAGCTTCTTCTCCCTTCCCCTATAAACAAATTTATAAAAATATTATCCTGCAAAAATAGGCGCCTCTGCCAGGCCCACCCTAGGCCCCCCCAGGTCAGATGGCTAGTTACGCCAGTGGATAGAGGGCTGTAATAGTACATTATATACCTAGGTAGAGAAGTTGATCATTATATATACCGAGCGCTTTTATAAACCTCGGCGCATAGCGCCGAGGTTTATAATGCGTAAGGTATATAATGACTTTCTCTACCGTGGAATATATAGAATTTTGTTTACTACTGCTATAGTGGAAAATAAAAAATAAGTTTGAAATCTGCGCTCAATTTATTTTTTCTGGTTGGAAGTGCTGCCCTCTATCAACATCTATGGTAATTTTCTATGATACATACAGGAACCTGTTTTTTTGATTAAATTGACAATTTGAAATTGAAATTAAACCAATAGAAACCCTGTAACGTTATGACAATATCCCTTGCGTCATGACGTCATTTTCATTATTGACCTAGGTTTTTTTTTCATTATTTTCATTATTAACCTAGGGAGAGAAATTCAATTTTTTCCGAGAAAAATAGATTGAATAATGACTACTTCTCAGGTTAGTAGTAAAAAAACTTCATTATTTTAGTATTTTTGCTCTAGCTCAAAAACTAGAATAGAAACATATCACTTTCATAACAGTACTAAATGCAGTATTTCATAGCGAATCCAAACGATATAATACACTACGACATTTTTCTTAATTTTCGTTCAAATATTTTTATTGATTGTGTAGTAGGTAATTTTATTTTTTTTTTCTACTTAAAATTTAATTTCAGAACGAAATTTGGACAAAACTCGATTTAAAAGTGGTACATTAGGTCGTAAAATAATCTGTAGAATCCAAAAAACAAAAAATATACAGGGTGTGCCATTTGAAAATCAAAAGTTTCGGTCATTTCCGGTGAAACCGGAAGTCAGAAAAACTTGTCATAAATGCATAAAAATGGCGTTTCGTCAGAATATCAAGCCTGCCAAGTTGATATCGACAAACAAATAAAAAAATGGCAGCCAGAAAGTAATATTGTGGGCACCCGGTATAGGCTCTTGGCCTCCGAATTGCTCTCATTGCTTCATGGAGCAATATATTTTCTAAATAAAACAGCTAATTTATGAAGTAGCAATAGGTATCCAACTAGTTTAATAAACCCAACAAAATAATTGGCTTAATTTAAATGGAAAATTTATTATATTTTATCACCATACTTTGGCATTTTTGCTTTAATAAAAGGCTGGTGAACTTCATAATAACCCTTTTTCTTAGTAGTATTCACAAGCGATTTCGAGTGAAGCTTTCTAGAATCGACTTTTTCTTTTGAGCTTGGCTGTTTGCTTGATTCAGAATTTCTATAAAAAAAAAAAACATATTATCCAAATACTACTATTCGCCTCTAAAACATCAATACCTAGAAGCTTTTAGAATAATCTCCACGCTTTTTCTAATGCTACTCATCTTGCCAAGTCCGCAACTTTTAGTTGATTCAGATGAAGACACTCGATTATTTTCCATGTAACGTGAAAGTTGATAGTCAACCAATGGCAAAGCGGTGGGTTTCGAAGAAGGTTTGCCACTATTAGTCCTGTTAGTGGTGTAATATGGAATTTCAATAGACGGAGTGCTGCCCTTACTATGGCTACGTTTCCTGGATTCCTCAGAATACTCAATTCTATTTACTTTTTGATTTAATATCAGATTTTTTTTGTTATATACTTGCGGCTTGGGTTGATGTCCTTCCATGGTGATTGGTTCAAATTTATACCTAAATTGTCTCAGTATGAATATAAAAAGCACAAAACATCAAGGTAACAAACCGTATATCATCGAAATAAGAATTCTTCAATAATCTTCTTATGTTTACTCTTTTATCAGGATCATATTCAAGCATAAGTTCTAAAACGGCTTTAGCTTGTCTAGTAGTCATATGTGGTAATAATAATGTACCAATACCTGTTCCACGTTTTTTTGGAAATACTACACAATTTTTGGATCTAAAATAAGTTTCTATATTAAAATTCAATAATGAGCAATAGTGCGTTCCTTACCTAGATTTCAATTTGTTTAAGAAATGCGTGGAAGGTGTTCCAAAAACCTGATGGATTTTATCCAGCTGATCGATTTCGTTATCTCCTGGAAACATTGGTAAAAGCCTAAAATACTTCTTAGTAAAATTGCATTCATAAATTAAAATTGAGTACGTTAGCATTTCGTAGAAGACACAGCCAGCAGCCCACACATCCATTTTAGGACCATAATTTCCATTAGACAAAAGACATTCTGGTGATCGGTACCATCTTGTTGAAATATATTCCGTGTAGGGAGGCTCACTGTAAATACCCCTTACAGAACCTAAATCTGCTAATTTAATTATTTCATGCGTTTTCATGTTTTTCAACCTCATAGTATCGATAGAAGGAAATTTTATTAAAATATTTTCAGGCTTCACGTCTCTATGAAACAAACCACTCCTGTGCAAGTGCTCCAATCCGCGTAAAACTTGATAGAGATATTCTTTTGATTTTTGCTCTGACAAACCCCTGTAATAATTAAATAATTATTTGAAATTTATTAAAGAAATTTAATTCTACCTTATTTTTCCATCAGGTTTATGCGTTACCTTGAAATGATCATAAAGGCTCATGTCCATTAATTCAAAAATAAACGTAACTTGTCCTGTAAACGAGTCTTTTTGTGATGCCACTATTTCTGCACATGTTGATATTGAAGATTCACTATTATAAGCAAAATATAAATTAATTATTTACAAGTATATAGGCCGGTGCTTACTGTTTGTAAACTTTCTTCAGCCTTTTGGCTGCATACAAAAATCCAGTGGATTTGTGCATACACTTGAGTACCTCAGAAAATGAGCCTTCGCCGATTTTTTCAAGAACTTTGTACTCTATAAAATATACATTTCACAATAGGACATACGTAATTAGTGGGATTTTTTACTTTACTTGTTTGGAAGGTGTCAATTCTATGATTGTACATTTGATCCATTACAAACTCAATTTGGAATAAAAAAATATTGAGACAATTTTCTACATTTGAAAAGTCATTATTTTGCCAAAAAAATAATTTTGACAGGAATGGTGGGGTGAATTGGTTAATAAATAATAGTATTTATTAAAAAAATTTGAGATACATTTATAATAATTTATCTTTCTTCTAATTGGCTGTCTCTGCCCATAACTGACTCTTCAAATTTAATCATATAAGTTGTGCCTTTGTGCCAATGAGCAGTAACTTTAGCAGGCTAAAATTGAATTTTTGTAAAAATATACTTCTAATTAATAATTCACTTACAAATCCTGTTCCTGTTAAAACAGCCTCTATAATGCCAGCAATGAACACAGCACAGTTGAGGCTGCTTTTGTCTCTCGGCACTGAAATGTATCTGTTAACAATGGGTTCTTTTTCCATTAGATAATAAGTATTTTCGTCGTCGTTGGAATGTTCCAGTTTATCCGCTTCTTTTCCAAACAAGGCCTAGAATTTTCAGTCGTACAAATTGCTAGAGGGTTGTAAAAATTGTTACCTTCCAGAATGTTGATTTTACATACAAGAGGATGCTTAAAAGTTTCGTTTCGCGTTTCCCATTACGCTCTCTCACAAAATATATGTCTATTAGTTTTGTGCCAACTCTACGGCCAAGTTCATGTAATCTACAACAGACGATTTGTTGATAGAATTTAAATTATTGCTTGTTGCAGTAGAAGATTGTTGTTGAAGCTTTCAGAAGTTTCCCTAATATTCTTAAGCACTCTTTGATACTTCTAATTGAAATTCTAAAGTCTGAAAGTTTTAAGTTACTTCTAAAGTGTCATGTGACGATTTTCAAGATATTTTGAAAGTTTCCAATTTTAGATTGTTTTCAAAAGTTCCATATGATTTGTGAAGTGTTCTAGAGCATTCCAAAATACTCCTGAAAATTGGATTTAAGCCAAAACTTCAAGGTATCTCAAGCTTTCTTCAAGGTTTTCCTAAATGTTGCTGAAAGTTCAGAAGTGTTCTGGATCATTCTAGAAAATTTCTGATTTGATTCTAAAGTGCTCTGTAGCGTTTTACAAGCTTCCTGCAAGTGCAGGATAATTGAAAAATGAATTGAAAGTCTTCTAGAGCTTATCAAAGTAATAAATTTATTCTAAAGTGCTCTGGAGTGTCTCAGAATGCTTGAAATTATTCCAAATTGGCACTAGCGCATTCTGAAGCTTTTGAAAAAACCTCGGAAAAAACTTTCTGAAGTTTTCAATTAGTTGCTTGCTTAATGGCCGTTTCCAGCAACTATTTTAGGGAAGCCTTAACAATAAGTATTCCTTAAACATACATTTCTCCATGGAAGACTGTCATTTCAAGGAATACCTATCATCAAGAGCTGTGTCAAGTTAGCCCCCCCACATTCGAATTTTCTAAAAAAATTGCAACCACTTACTGTGCTCGAAGTGTGCTTTACTGTGCCGATGATATTTTGAACTGTGCCGTTTCGATAACAAAGTTATAAGAAAAATTAGATGAGGGGCTAAGTTGACGCTCAGCCCCCCCAAAATTTTGGAAATCAGATGAACTCAAAAAGGATTCTTATCCAATTTGAAGTGTGCTGAACTGTGCTGTATCAGGTTGTTCTCAAAATTTCCATATTCGGTCATTTTCCGACAAAATTCTACTGGGGGGCTAACTTGACGCTCAGCCCCCCCAAAATTTTGGAAATCAGCTTAAACAAAATTGAATTCTTATCCATTCTGAAGTGTGCTGAACTGTGCTGTATCAGGTTTTTCTCAAAATTTCCATTATCGTTTATTTTCCGACAAAATCCTACTGGGGGGCTATCTTGACGCTCAGCCCCCCCAAAATTTTGGAAATCAGATTAAACAAAATTGAATTCTTATCCAATCTGACGTGTGCTGAACTGTGCTGTATCAGGTTTTTCTCAAAATTTCCATATTCGGTCATTTTCCGACAAAATCCTACTGGGGGGCTAACTTGACGCTCAGCCCCCCCAAAATTTTGGAAATCAGATTAAACAAAATTGAATTCTTATCCAATCTGAAGTGTGCTGAACTGTGCCCCCCAGTAGGATTTTCTCGGAAAATGACCGAGTATGGAAATTTTGAGAAAAACCTGATACAGCACAGTTCAGCACACTTCAGAATGGATAAGAATTCAATTTTGTTTAATCTGATTTCCAAAATTTTGGGGGGGCTGAGCGTCAAGTTAGCCCCCCAGTAGGATTTTGTCGGAAAATGAACCGAATATGGAAATTTTGAGAAAAACCTGATACAGCACAGTTCAGCACACTTCAGATTGGATAAGAATTCAATTTTGTTTAATCTGATTTCCAAAATTTTGGGGGGGCTGAGCGTCAAGTTAGCCCCCCAGTAGAATTTTGTCGGAAAATGACCGAATGTGGAAATTTTGAGAAAAACCTGATACAGCACAGTTCAGCACACTTCAGATTAGATAAGAATTCAATTTTGTTTAATCTGATTTCCAAAATTTTGGGGGGGCTGAGCGTCAACTTAGCCCCTCATCTATTTTTTCTTATAACTTTGTTATGGAAACGGCACAGTTCAAAATATCATCGGCACAGTAAAGCACACTTCGAGCACAGTAAGTGGTTGCAATTTTTTCAGAAAATTCGAATGTGGGGGGGCTAACTTGACGGAGCGATCATCAAGACTTCCCTAAATAGTTGGTGGTAACGGCCATATTATGTTCTTGAAGAACCAAAAAATTAGAAGTTATCAGAAATATCCCAAATATTCTTAGGTGCTTTTTGATACTTCTAATTGAAATTCTAAATAAGTTCTGAGGGGTTTAAGCTTTTAGAGTATTCCAATATGTTTATGGAAGTTTAAAGTTACTTTTAAAGTTTCACGTGACGATTTTCAAGATATTCTGAAAAATTCCAGTTCTAGATTGTTTCCAAAAGTTCCATAAGTGTTCTAACGAGGGGTGTGTCACTTCTGGAATTACATGTACATTTTCTTGATTGTATTGTGGAAGTCACAGGAATTCGCTTGGTAGTCATTGGAAGTTTGGCAGTCAGTGGCAGAATTCCGCGTAGTCGCTAGAACTCACTTGGCAGTCACTGGAAGTCGCGCGGTAGTCGCTGGAAGTCGCGCGGCATTCATTGGTATTCACGACAATTTTGAGGAGTTTGGTCGCGACATTCGTAGTCATTTGCCACACGCTTTTGATCGCGATTTTGATGTGTGCAATATTTATATAGAATCCTCAAGAAATATTTGTTTAGTTGCTTGACAGCACAGAGATTCAACGCAGATGAGCGTTTGGAAATAGTATATTGTGTATTTAGGTGGAAAAGTGACACATTCTCGGCCGACGGTGTGAGTTGACGGGCGAGGCGTAGCCGAGGGCGGCAAACACCGAAGGCTGAGAATGTGCTTTTCCACCGAAATACACATACTATTTTTTCTGCGATCGGTTGAATACCTGTTAAATGTTTGTCTTTTGGTTCCAATTATTCAGCAGTACGAGAATCACTTTCCGGCCTAGGCCGCAAAAGTGTTTCCCGTATTGTTATTCATTGATTCCTTAGCAACTATTGAAACATAATTAAAATACCAGAATATTGAGTTTTGCGACCTGTCAACCGGTCAAAAATGATGACATTTCTTGTCAATCGTAGAAAAATAATTTTTCGACATCTTTTTGTAATGATGGAAGCAAGAAAATGAGTCACAATCCCTCGGACAATCCACAATAACGCATATAAAAAATTTAATTCATACTTGTTCTAGTAGTTTTTTATCTAATTTGGGAGACCTTTCAAACGAAAACGATCTCTAGCTAATATAGACAAAATGGCAGTGGTTTGTGGTATTAAAAGAGGGAAATCCATGAATATGATGCCCAGAGTGTGATTTTATTACTGTTAGTTTAGTCTTAATACTCACAAAAAAAAATGGGTTTGCTCAAATTTTAATAGGCATATCAAGACCCATTTTTCTCAAGCTAGTAAAAAAATCACAAAGACAACAAAGGATCCTCAAAAAACCCAAGCATTCTCTCATACCTCCAAAAAAGACCTTCATCATCGAGCTCAGTATCAGAAATACCATCATCATTTCACATGTTCGGTATTATCGTCAGTGTTAGGACCTCTTATTATTCTGCCTGGAATCATCTGACTCCTTGATTACAGGAATCAGCCTTGATAACATTGATGAAGATATACTGGAAGTTTCTGAGTTGATTGAAGAGGACACGAAGATCTAGAGAAACTAGGTGGGAATCAAAATTTTGTACATGGCAGAACAACTAAAGATGAGATGGAAGACAGTTGTTCTGCCTCAAGAAAAAACCCTTTCTCGTTATCATTCGACACCCAGAGGCACCATTACAAAGAACCATCGATTAAAAACACAAAGACTTCTTTCTCTCTCTGCAATTTTAGAAGACCTCCTAATTTCTTTACTAATCAAGATGTCCAAAAACGAAAAATACTTTCTATAGGCAGTTTTTCAAGGATAATCGAGTGGCATGACCAATTTTTCTCCAGATGCCTCTGATTTTGGAATATTGACCAAAGTTGTATTTTTTTTAAATGGGACACCCCGTATATTATTTTTTCATTGAATAGCTCTTTGTGAACTAATTTCAATGATATAAGATTTTATACCTTTACCTTCTATAGTTTTGGAGAAAAAAAGTTATTATTCCGTTTTTCCATAAGAAACAATGAGCTAGAGAGAGGTAGGTCATAAATTATGTGTTGCCTATTTATCACCCCCGATTCATAGTTCAAATCTCGGTTCAAATTTTAAAAAAAAATTAGCTGAACTGAAAAATTAAATTAGGCAATTCAATCCATCTGTCAAAACGAGAAATTCAATATGGCGTGGCGGCCAGCAAGTTTGTTTTGAATATGTGTTTTCATGTATATTTTAATTATTTTACTTCGAGCTTTGCTTGCAGCTTTGATTTTGATTATTCAATAAAATATTTGTTTACTAGGTACGTAAACTATTAAGTCGGGCAGAAGCTAGACATTTTTTTGTGTTTTTTGGTCCATATGTGGCCGCCACGCCATCTTGAATGTCACGTGGTTTGAATTGCCTAATTAAGAATTAAGAAATTTGTAGCCCATTCATCTCTTTCTAACTCATTGTTTCTTATGGAAAAAACGGAATTTATTTTTTTTCTCCAAAACTATTGAAGGTAAAGGTATAAAATCTTATATCATTGGAATCAGCTCATAAAGAGCTATTCTATGAAAAAATAATATACGGGGTGTCGCATTTGAAAAAACACAACTTTGGTCAATATTCCATAATCGGTGGCATCTGGAAAAAAAATTGGTCATGCCACTGGATTCTACTTGAAAAACTGCCTATAGAAAGTATTTTTCGTTTTTGGATATCTTGAATATTAAGGAAATTAGAGAGTCTTTTAAAATTGGACAAAATTTGAAAAGTGCCCTGTATTTCCCAAAACGCATCAAGTTAGCCGTGATTTGTCTTCGCCATTGTTTTTTTCCCAAAAAAAGAGCTCAAGAATGTGCTCCCAGATTTTTGATATCTCTACTGGTTTTTGATATAGCCCATTAAAATATCGAAAATGGGCCACCCTGTACAAGACTCTGTGGATAGTGGATGGAACTTCTAAAATAAATATTAGTTGTACTAGCGTTTTAGTTGTTTCCTGATTTTCTCTAAACACAGTTTAAAAAAAAAATATATATTTTTCTCGATAATTTTCTATATAATTGATAACTGACGTCTAAAAGTTGGAGCGAATTGTACAGAAATTATTTAGTTCTTCGAAATTACATGGTATATTCTAGTAAAAATAGTATAAGAAGTAATGGTAGTCATACTGCAGTCACAGAAAGTACAGGCATTCATTGAGAAGTCATTGACATTCAGTTGTAGTCAGTAGAATTCATCCCCATTTTTGGCAGTCTACGGATTTTTTCGGCAGTCGCAGGAATTCTTTGGCAGTCTTTGGAATTCAGATAAATAGGTTTTGTTTTGGAATTACATGTACATTTTTTGACACAGTGACACACCCCTCGTGTTCTAACTTCCAGAGTGTTTCAGAAGCTTTCTAAAATGTTGCCAAAAGTTCAGAAGTGTTCTGGTCTGTTCTAGAATGTTTCTGAGAATCTAAATTGGTTCTAAAATGTTCTGTATTGTTTTACGATGTTTTTAAAGATTCCAGTTTATCTCAAACAAATGCAGGAGGATTGAAAATTGAATTGAAAATCTTCTGAAGCTTCTCAAAGTTCTAAATTGCTCTAGATAGATTGTCTTAAATTGCTTGAAATGTTCCAACTTGGCGATAGCACATTCTGTTAGGTTTTATTGAATAAAAATAGGTATATATATATCAAAAACACAAATATCCACCAAAAACATCAAAAATACAATTCTCTATCCACTATAATACAATTAGCTGGATTTTTTCCATTCCTGGAAGTCCTAGTAATAAAAGGTAGCTACCTTTTGACTTGAATTTTTAAGATAAGTTTACCAACCTATAATCTCATTGGTTAGCAAATAACTAGCCAACCAATAGAGTTTAGACTGCGTTTTTATCAGTCAGGATTGCATTACCTGACAGTTTATCAGAACATGAATAAAGCAGGCCTTACACTCAGATTTCAAGTACGCACTAATATTAATTAATTATTGGTAATTATAGACTTAATAACTAATTTTACCTGTTTTGTAGGTCAAGTAAAGTTTGGGACTTGTTCTGGCAATACTGGACAACTTCTGAAAATAAAAGGGCGAAGCAGCTCAAAGATATTTCACCTTTGCCCCTGCTCAAGGGCTTGTCCAATATGCTCAGCTTGTTTCTGCCTCCCAGACTCATAATTAATAATTATTATTCAATCAAACAACAATAATTTTTGATTTTGATTATTGAAAGATTATGTTTGTTTACTACTAATTTGACAATTTGACAATCAGCTGACATTGTTTTGACATTTCGGATTGGGACAAAATGGTCGCTTTCATTTCACCAATGGATCAATCGATGACCAGTCTATCTTTGTCTAGTTCATAGAAAATCGGAATAGCTGTCTCATAATGCTGGCAGCAGATGGATCCATCGATGAGATATCGCCCAATTTGGATGCATCCAACTGACGTGCCAAATGTAACGGTTTTTTTAAAAATAACTATTCACCTAACAAATGCGAAAAGAGATACTTTACCGCACGCAAATTGAAATTTCTGAAAGAGAAGGGATTTTTGATTAAAAATACCAGTCTTCTTTACCGCACACTATGCCGTAAAGTACTACCACTGTAAGTACTACTACTACTACTTCACTGCGTAGTGTGTGTTAAAGTGCACTTTCTGCACGCTCGTAGGCAAACAAATAAAAGTAATCTATTCAAAAAACACATTATTATAATAAATTAAATACATTTATTTTCTCTTTTTTCTTCTTTTATGTATATAAACTCCAAGTTCCTCGATTCCCTTGTATCCGTAATGCTCTTCGGCAATGTTGGGATCATAATGGTTAAATACTCCGCCTCCGGTAGCTCTTCTTCTAAGGAAACTCACCAGCATTAAAGCAACAGCAATTTTTCCAACAAATATCGCCTTTGCCATTAAAAACTTGATGGATATCAGCATAAGGGGAATTATAGCGGACGATATCAGAAACGGTATTATCAGGAATGGTAGTATTTTGTTGGCGAGGCCTTGATTATTGTTGCTACCTTTTTCTGCTTTTGCCATGAATTTTTCTAGAAAAAAAAAATTGCAATCAAGAGTCAAGAAATAACTAATCAAAATGTATTTATTTTTGATACAGTTATAAGTCAGAATTCTGAGATGAAAGTCAAAATTCTAAGTTATTAGTCAGAATTCTAAGATAAAAAGTCAAAATTCTGAGATAAAAGTAAGAATTCTGGAGTTACTTATATAACTTAGGATTCTGCAATAAAAGCAAAAACATAAAATGCACAGGCCCAAGTGATTCAGAGGGACTTGTTCGATCCTGGGTGATAAAAAAAGGGAAAAATATATTTTTCCTTTGAATCCTGTCTTCGCTTTCCGATACACTGCTATTCTGCTCTGATTACGAGCAAACGGGTGGTTTGTAGGTATATTATCAGAATGTCCAAAGATTATCATAATTTCAACTTTTATCTTAGAATTCTGACTTACTTATATCCCAGGATTTTGACATATCTCAGGATTATCATTATTATCAAACCCAAATTTGGGTACTTAGTACTTCTACGCATTGGTAGTAATAATTAGATAATTATTAAAATTTAATTTCTTAGCCATTTTGGATATAGGTACCTACGCTACCTATACTTTCTGAATTTTAAATTTGAGCTACAAGAACCAATTTGATACAGTTTATGGAGAATTTAAGAATGCTCTTTAAAACAATTTCTAAATTAAATCACAATTCTCAGGTACCTACCAATTAAAATACCTATGAGAATGATTAGCCCTCTGGAATTTTCAGGGAATCTTATTCTAGTGAAGGACTACAAACCCCTTAAAATTTCAGCTCGGTATAGGACGAATTTTTCAGTTTTCCTGACGTCTTGATTTTTCAGAGATTTCAAATTTCAGAATAATTTAGTTTAGAGTTTGATGGGTGATCCAAAATGATCATTTAAACACAAAATTTCAACATATAGGAAAATACACAAAATATGGAGCCAGAGATAGAAAAACTATGTCTTTTTGTTTAACAGTTTTTCGTCAATTTGCCTTTAATTTCGTCTGTTTCTCAATTTCTTCGTCGGATTGTTTGTTTATTCCTGGCTCTTGAATCTTCAATATTTCCTGAGCTTCTTTATTAAATAAAGAAAATTCGGAAAAATAGACAAAATATGAGAGCCTCTGGAATAGAAAAACTACGTCCTATTTTTGTTTAACAGTTTTTCCTCAATTTGCCTTATTTTCCCTTTGCTTCTCAATGTCTTCAGCTGAATTTTGAATGGCTCTGTGAAGTAAGCAGGTACACTTGAAGCACAAAAGTTAAATTTTACGTAATCGTTTAGCACTTCGATAGTGCTTCAATCCTCAAATTAGCAAACTTTGTATTTTCATAGATATCTCGGTTTTTTGAAATCGCCTGCTTACTTCACACCCAGCAAGAACAAGGGAATCACCAACGTTCAGTTACAGATAAATGAATTACTGAAAATATAGGGGCTCCTAATTTGCGGATTGAAGCACATTGAAGCACTAACCATCTATCTACAAACTACTAAACGTTTGGTACTTCCGATGTTCCCGTTACTATGTGTGAACTGAGCAGGCGACTTCTAAAAACCGAAATATTTCAGAAAATTCAACGGTTGCTAATTTGGTGATTGAAGCATATTGAATGAGCACTAACGAAGCACTAACCATTCATCTGTAACTGAACATTGGTGCTTCCCTTGTTCCTGTTGGGTGTGAAGTAAGCAGGCGATTTCAAAAAACCGAAATATCTCCGAAAATACAAGGGTTGCTAATTTGGGGATTGAACAAAGGCGGCTCACTTACCTACCATAATTTGTACATCGATTTCGGATTTCCGGAAATCGCATATGACTGAAAATTTTTAAGATATTTCGAAAGATTTCGGATATACGACTTCCGACGCCGTATCACTAAGGATATCGAGAATTTCGATAAATTTATTGGGATTTCGGAATTTCAGAAGAATTTCGGTTGGGATTCTGGGACTCCAGAAGGATTTCGGTTGGGATTCCGGGATTTAAGAAGGATTTCGGTTGGGATTTCGGGATTTCATAAAAATTTCGGATAGGATTTCGCTGTTCGCAATTTCAAATGGATTTCGGGATTTCCAAAGAATTTCGAGGGATTTCAGATGAAAATCTATAGCGATTTCGAGAGTGAGCTGCCTTTCGAGAATGAAGCACATTGGAGCATTAACGAAGCGCTAAATAATTACCTAAAATTTATCTCTTGTGCTTCAAGTGTGCCTGAGCACTTCACAGAGCCCTCTTGAATCTCCAATATTTTTTAAGCTTCTTTAAATAAAGAAAACTCAGAAAAATAGACAAAATATAAGAGCCTGGAATAGAAAAAATACGTCTTTTTGCCTAACAGTTTTTTTCCGCCAATCTTTTTTCCAACATTTCGGCTTAAAATCTCATGAAGTATCAAGAATCAAGTTTAGGGAGTCCCAGATGATCATTGATCATTTAAAAATCTCAGCATAAAAGATGGTTTTTTTTTTTAAATTTTCATTGGGAAGTGGGTTTCTTCAAATCTTTGAACCTCAAATTAGATATCGGTGCCTATCTAATACAAGATTCTATGAAGTTCTTGAGACAAATATCAAGGACCAAATTTTGGATTAAGATGCAACTCGATCCCTTGCAAAATTTTAGGGTTACAAACCCCAATTTGGCACAGTTTATTGAAAATTTAACGCTCTTTACAGCAATGTATAATTTGAATAAGTTTTCCCAAATATCAATGATGATAGCAGTTATTCATGAAAATCATTATCGATTGGTGATTTGGGATAAGACACAATGACAAATACAAGATACAAGTAACAAGGGACAAAAATATAATAACAGGTGTATCAATGCTTATAACTCAGAATAAATGGATACAGGATACAATTTACTTACCATGACTCGCTACAAAATTTCGATTTTTTGGTATTTTGTATCTGTCTCTTGTACCTTGTATTGTCATTGTGTCTCCAGCCTGAAGTAATGAAGAGCCAGGAATAATTAAAAATTGAATAATCTAATCAAACCATTCTGGTTTATCACCAACATTAACTGAGACTTTAAATTCTGTTATTTTGTTTTAAATTTAATTGGTGATAAGAAATTAAAATTCATTGTAAAACTTCAAGCAATTTTAATTAACAGTTTCTTATCTTACCTTCTTTTTCAATCGCATTTTCCTGCACATCAGCTACATTTTCGGCAATCTTCATTGAAACAATAGCACAGAAACAAACAAAAACGATAAAATCCATTTTCTACAATTAAAAATCACAGTTAATCGGTTTCTTGTGCATCCGCTTTTAAACTATTCTAACAACTGTTCTGATTTTACATCTGGTTCTACCAATACGCGAATAGTGGGTATTAGTCTCAATATTTTATTGCCGGTAAAAGTGTTTGGGTCAAATCAAATCTACCAAAAATTTGATACTCAATACAAAACAACTTTCATTAACTATATTTTGACTCAAATGAATCTAGATCAAATTTATAAGAATAAGAAAATAGAAAACACTTAATTTTTCTCATTGTGGTTTTTCATTATAATATAATAGAAGAATTTCAATTTATATCGACAAGGATGTGAACTTGAACTATAGAAAGTGTCCACCTAATTAAGATTACGAAAAATAGCACTACAAAAATTTGTTGGTGGAGGGAAGGCTGATGTTCTAGTTCCTCCCAGTGGTTCGTCATTTGCTTTCTTTTGCTTATAAACCTGATATCAAAAGAGCAGGAATCGTGCTCAGTATTAAACAAGTTTGATACAAAAATGGATAATGTAAATAACGGATTGTTGGTTTTGTACGTGCTCCTATTGATCGGTTGGAACGTGCAGTGCGATAATGAACCGAAAAAAGAATTATTGGCTTTGGAACAAAATAGTAAGTAGTAATTTTACTAGTTTTTAAAATAATAATTGGAAAATTTTAGATCCACGTAAATCCAATAAGAATAATGCCAATAATAGCCCTTTGACAAGCCTAATACCAATGTTGGCAATGCCCTTTTTGGTGCAAACAACGTTTCTGCCGATGATATTGCTGGGAATCAAATTTATGCTCATACAAAGTATATTTTTAGGGAAATTTGCCATTGTGTTTTGGGTTATCAATTTAATTAGGAACCATATTAAGGATCAACAAGGACATTTGTATAGTCACAATATTCATCTCAATAAACATTGACTATAGGATTTAATAATAATAATAATTGTTCTGTGATATTAATTGTTGAAATAATAATTTTAATAGATTTTGTTGTTTGAGTTTTTTTAATAGGTACCTATAGGTAGGTACCTCCCATTTTCATAAAAAGAATAGAGGATTTTTCCTTAATCCTTCAAGAATTGGGGTAGGTATAGTAAAGTTGTAAAAAATTTGAATTTCTAATAAGTAAATATATAAATAATAATTTTAAAATTCATCAATATGTTTCTTTATTTTTCAAGACACCTTTCTAATAAAAAAAAAATCAATTTCTCCTAATTAATTACAATATCAAACTAACTGTAGATATTTCCAAGAGTTCCTTGTTTGTCTGGGTCAATAGGAATGTTCTTATATTTATAGACAAGTATGTTAAGTACATTCATGTGTTTAATTGCTTACGGGCATCACAAAACAAATACAAAAAGAATCACAGAAAAATACACTCAATTATTATGATGTTCCGTATGTCCATAAGGTCCATACCCAGGATTCACATAAACAACATGTTCGTCAGGTTTAGCATCAAATATGTAACTTCTTACTAAAGCTCCTAGTCCTGCCATGAAAGCTGCCTGGTTTACGAATTGCACAAAACCGGCCAGCAATCTGATGCCTGGAACGATCCAGGGTACGATTCCAGCTAAAGTCAGCGCTGGCATTAGCATGTAGTTCAGTGAAGGTGACGGTGCCGCATCTGCTGCGATTTTTCTGATGGATTCTTCATTTTCGATACTGACACTGTTTACATTTCCGATAACAACTAGATTTAAAATAAGAGCCAAGTAAGTCGATAGTTCGCGCATTTTAAGCTCATTTATACTGTTAGCGGAAATTATAAAACTGCTAGTACTACCTGATCGAGATGACCCACATTAAAATCTTACGTTCTTGTCTAATGAACTTTGTGGTATAACTGCAGAACTCGATCTTAATTATTTTTTTCTTTAAATTAAAAAGTAGAATTTGAAATAACTTCAACTTACTTACGCCTGATGGAATGCTATATTATGCTCTGTTAAATGCTGATTTAGTAGGTATTTAAAGGAGGTAAAATAAATTATATTTAAAAAAAAGGATAATTTTTGAAAAAAGATACTTCTATCTAATGGTTTAAAAACGTTGGTCGAATGAAATTATTGGGTTTGAGGTTTTTGAAGAAATCAAGGTTGAAGTTTTGAGCAAAATTACGACCAGAATTTAAACTTAAAATTCAATATACCTTCCTACTTTAATTTATATATTTAGTGGTACCAATAAGCAGAAGATTGAACTTAAATATGAATATTAAAATAAGAAGCAAATACTTTTTTACAGGCATAAGCATTTGCCTAAGGGAATCTTGACAATGTTAAGCATTTTCTAGCAGAAATAGGCAAATCTACCTTTGAATGTTTATGAAACATATTCCAGACAATTAGAGCAACTTGCTCAGAGAGAGGAATTCATTTTTTCTTTTAGAGCAGTAGGTGACAAAAATACTTAGAAAATTCCTGATAGATCACCTTTTGGAAGCTTCTGAAAAATACTTCGAACGATCAGAGTGACTTGAAATTTTTACGATTTATCAATAATGGTCCCTTTATTGAATAAAATCAATTAGAAGTGAATCTGATGCTCAGAAAGAGAGATATGTTTTTTTTTTCACAGCAATACCAACATTTCTGATAAATCACCTCTGACAGCGTCTGAAAAATATTTCAAGGAATCAGAGTGACTTGAAACTTTCAAGATTGACCAGTTAGAATCTTATTTCTATTGAATAAAATAATTTAGAAGTGTCTGGAATAATAAAACGTATTTACGAACAAAGACCCAGATCCATACCTACTCTTAGATGGAAAGTTTTTGCCTTCTTGGATTCCTGATGAGAGATCAAAAGGGAAACTGCCGGAAGGTCACATGCAGTATAAGAAACAGAATTTTTTTTTTGAAAACATTTATTAAGTAAGCAATAATTGTTATTAACATTACAATTCACATTGAATCCTTTAAACAGTGTATTAGAACACTGGTACCAAGGATAATTACGCCAGTTAATCTTTAACAGTTCTGCAATAGGAACAAAAAACTTATTCAGTAAAAAACTTAATTAGTAAATATAAGGGAAATAAGCACTAACACAACCCACTAATATAAACTACATTGGAGGTTACTCATGCAAACTTATGTATAATTTAGTTTGTTCTACAAATTTCTTATATTTTGTTATATTCTTAATATTTTCTGGAAGAGAATCATAACTCTTTGACGCCTGGTATATTGGATTTTGCAAACCTTTATTACTTTTAATATTGGTGTGAAATATATTTTCTTTTGGCCTAGTATTATGTGTGTGGATATCCCTGGAATATGTAAATGTGATATTTGATTTTTGAGTTTTGTTTTTGATGTTATAAGTTTACATTGTTCGAGCTGCAATACTTTTTCAAGCTGCCAGACCCCGAAGTTACGGTATAGATCCGACGTGTGTGTTAACCAGTGATATTCAAATAAGATTTTCAACGCCTTGTTTTGCAAGATTTGCATTGAATTTAGATTCACAATTCCACACGTCCCCCATACCATAATCAGATATCTAAAGTGCGTCAAGAAGAAAGCATTGTAAACATCTAGTTTACTTCTATATGAGAGATAACTCCAACTCCTATTCCTATACAAAGCCCTAAACATTGGCACAATCTTACTTTCTATCATCAAGCTTATATGATCTGTCCAGCCGAGTTTAACATCAATGAGCAGACCTAGGTATTTTGCTTTTGCTACATGTTCAATCTGTATATCACATAATTTTATAGAAGGTATTTGTACAATTTTATTTTTTTGCTTAAATAGCATAAATACAGTTTTATCTGTATTGATTTTTAATTTATTATGTAATAACCAATCGGTATAACGTTTTAGATCTATATTAACAATGCTTTCAATATTCTCTATGTCATCAATATCATAAACTAGGACTATCATCTGCAAATGTATAGTATCTACCTACTAACCCTGCATTTTTCAGACTCAATACGTAAAGGGAATAAAATAGGGGACCAAGGACAGAGCCCTGTGGTACTTCATAATCACAGTTTTCTATTTGGCTTGAATCCATACCCAATCTCACATAGTGTTTCCTATTCAACAAATATGATTTTATAATATTATACATTTGACCTCTAAAACCCATATCATGTAATTTTTGCAACAAAATATCCCTACTAACCACATCAAATGCTTTTTGCAAATCTATAAAAACCACTATCACTACTTTACCCCCATCTAAATTAGTAGAAACTCTGTTAATCAAATCAATTACTGCGCTTTGTTTGCTACTATGTTCAATAAAACCGTATTGATATTCATCCATAGGCACGTATTTATTGATAAAGGACATCATTCTTTTTTTAATAACACATTCAATAATTTTTGAAAAAACGCTTATTACACTAATAGGTCGGTAATTGCTCATAGACTTTTTACATCCGGACTTGAATATGGGGCTAAGTCTATTTACTTTTAGTTCCTCTGGAAATATACCAGTTAAAAGGCACTTATTGACTAGTTTGGTTAATACCGTAACTACGTCATTCTGTATATTTAGTAGGTATGTCACGGACTGTTATTTTGTCGTGACCAGGAGCAGATGTCTTCTTTAGATGTAATATAGTACTATCATGTTCATCACATAGTGCTAAAAAAGGTGTATTGTCACAATATATTTCGTTGAATTCATGATCCTTTATGTCCTGATGCCCCAAACTAGCTATGTGAGTATTTATCTCATGTACATGTTTTTACCTACATTTGCGAAGTGCTTGTTTAATTCATTAATTTTAGCTGATGGCTCTTTTATTTCTTGATTATCAACATTCAAAGTTTCAATAATTATTATTGTTGGATTTTTTTTTTCTTTTACTAGACCATTAAAACAATCATCTATTTACGAGAATCACGGAGATGATATGGATCAAAAACTGTCTGATTAGAAAAAATATCAGATTAGCAAGGTCTAAGGATTGTCCTTAAATGGGTGCTCTGAGAGGTGAAAATGAAAAGACATATATCCAAAATTTGGAAGATATCTAAGATATAGATGAGGTTCTCTATAATTCCTATGGGACTCGGATCGAAGGGAATATTGACAGAAGATCTTGATGTAATAGGAGTTAAAACAATCGTCTGAAGATGATATAGGATCAAAAACTGTTTGAGTGGAAAAGATTCCAGATCAGCAAGTTCCAATAATTGTTCTAAAATGATTGTTAATGCAATAACTTGTTTGAAACTGGCTCGACAATTCTTTCATTTTCATGTTTATGATAAATTTACTTTATTTGTATAGGTAGCGAATTTTAACAAGTAGGTACCTATCTATATATGTAGGTTTGAAACAGATTGGCAAATTTGAACTATCAGTGTAGATTACTGGATCGATTAAAAAGTTAAATTACGTAGTAATACCAGTAGTATAGGTACATAAATATCTGATGCATAAAGTACAGATCATTCTCAAAATCAGAATTATTCCAGGTTGTCATCAAATTTTCGAAACAATCTGAATTTGGTGTTTTGTGCATTTCATCAAGTAAAGAAATGAAAGGATTTATTTATCAATATTATTATACCTTTATGAATCCATGACTGAAGTTATAAAAAAAAGGTACAGGGTAATGTAAACAAGCTTTGTAAAAAAAATTTCTTATATCTATTTTGATATTCGTCATTCGACTATTTGCCGTCGTGGAGGAATAAGCTATTCAACAAATAATTAAGCATTTCGAGCTTTAGTGAGCATATTCTTGACCGAATTTTATAATGATTGATTAGTGTACAAATTTTTAAATTTCGTAAGTAGGTACCAACAACTATTTATAGCCTTTTGATTTTTGATCAATTCTTCTTCTTCTTTGCCATTATTCACGGGCTGAACCTCTTTTTCCTTCAATTTTTACCTGCATTATCAGTTTGAGAAGCTTATAAATGTCATTTCTTAAAATGTGTCCAAAATATTCAAGTTTACGTTTTTTGATGGTGAATAGAACTTCAAGCTCCTTATATATTCTAAGAAGAACATCCGCGTTACGTATTCTGTCCATCCAAGATATTCTGAGCATTCTACGATAGCACCACATCTCAAATGCTTCAAA